CAGGAACTCTGGTGACGGTCATCTTGACAATGACAGAGATAACGAGCCCATCTACCTTTACCTCTGCCATATACATATTTTCTTTATAGCCAGATTTTTTTTTTATGCTTGGCATTGAACAGATTCATTTTCTAGAATCCAGATTTCTTGAAGATAAGCTACAACCCAAAATTAAAACTGACAGGGTCTTTCCTATAGAATCACAGTCAAGTCACCTTCACTTTGGTTATTGAGAACAACCCAGGGAATCTGTAGAACTGGAAAGGATTACAGGATATACTGGGTGGCCCAGGTGGCTCGGCAGTTTAGCACTGCCTTCTGCCCAGGGCCTGATCCTGGAGACCCGGGATTGAGTCCCATGTCGGGCTCCCTGCATGGAGCCTGCTTCTCCCTTTGCCTGTGTCTCTGCCTCTCTCTCTGTCTTCTCATGAATAAATAAGTAAAATCTTAAAAAAAAAAAAGAAATAGGGATCCCTGGGTGGCATAGCGGTTTGGCGCCTGCCTTTGGCCCAGGGTGCAATCCTGGAGACCCAGGATTGAATCCCACACTGGGCTCCCGGTGCATGGAGCCTGCTTCTCCTTCTGCCTCTATCATAAATAAATAAAAATTAAAAAAAAAAAAAAGAAATAGGTGCTGTTGGTCCAATGACTTTACCTTTCTTAGATGGGATAAGGTGACTTAACTGGGCTCACCAGCTCTTGGAGTGAAGGTAAGTCTCCACCCTTGTATGCAGAGAACTTTCTGCACAGAAGTTTTCCACAACCTTTCAGAGCAGAACTCTTGAAGTTTAATCCAAAGGAGGAGAAAAAACCCTTGCACTGGAATTGCAGAGTAGACCTGGACATTATAAACAGCAGCTATGAATCCATCATCTGCTTGTCTGCAAGCAGATTCAGACAGTAGTCAAGAGTCAGTCTTGGAGGTGGCTAGAAGGAAATGTGAGTTTTTATAATTGAAATGGTGATTATTAAGGTCTCAGAGTTGAGGAGGAGGTTCCAATTTTATATGCTTAACAGATTAAAATTCATTAATTTATTCATCCATTAATTTTTCCTTCAAATATTTAAGTATCAGGCAATGAGGAAATGGAACAAACAAGGCCTAGTACCTGCTATCACAAAGACTTTGGTGGCATACCTGCAGAGATGGAAATAGGCAATTACAGTGTGAATAGGAATCTGACTATAGAAGTTCAGTGTTGAGAGCAAGGGAATGTAACCTAGACTTTGAAAATGTGGAAACTGGAAAGTTTCCAGAATGGGGGTAAATACCATTCTGCCACAAATTAAAAAACAAAAACTATGCTGAGACACCATTTCCTAACATATGATTGGTAAAATTAACAAGTGATAGCCTACCATGTGGTTACACAAAGTATACCATGTAGGTAAGAGTACAGAGAAACAATCATATACCTTGTCACCAAGGCAAACAATACAATGCCAGGATAAATGCACATATTCTTTGACCCAGCAATTTAACTTCTAGGGATTATCCAAGATACGCAGGGTCACGTGTGCAATGTATTGTACAAGGCTATTTACTACAGCATTGTTACAGTAATTAGAAACAACCCTCAAATCCAATGATAGGGAACTGATTCGATTCCTGTTACTCTTTGCTCAAAAATGCTTGGTGGAAAAAAAGCAAAAATGCTTGTCTTCTCCGTATACAAGGTCCTATACGATCTCTATATATCCTATACCCCTCTCCCTTTCTATGCCTTCTCTTCCTATTCTCCCCTCTGGTTCACTTCATACTGGCCTCCTTACCCAACTCAAACCACTTCATGGCCTTTGAGTTTACTGTGTCCTATCCAAAACACTCTATCCCCACAAGCTGATGTACCTCTCTCACTTGCACAAATGTCCCACTTTCGGAGGTCTCCCTCCAACATCTTTTACCTAATACCAACTAACTCCCTCTCTCTCCCTCAGCTTTACTGTTGTACATATATGTTATTACCCACCTGACGTTTGTTCATTTGTCTCTCCAGAACTCAAGCTCCATGAAGATAAAGACTTTGTTCACCTGTTTTCCAAGGGTAGCAGTACCTGGCACATTGAAGGGGGCACAAGTTAACTAAAAATTATGCAACACCCAGGAACTAAATAGTATGCAATGTAAAAGAATGAGCAAATGACACTTTATGTGAAAGAACTCTAAAATGTTAAGTGAGAAAAACAAGGTATATCTATTTTGTGTTAAAAGGAAAATGGAGAAAATACGTTTACTTGCTCAGGCTATATAATTGTTTGTTTACCTTTGGGGAGATAACTGGGCAGCTGAGTCAGAGTTAGGAAACCTTTTCATTGTCTACACCTCGAATATAAATTACCAAGTCAAAAAATAAAATAAAATGAAAAATAAGTTGAGTCAGTGGGAAAAAGGAAAAAGAACCAGATTTGAAAATTGGTCTTAAGGATCTAACAATTAATTTGCTACTGCATTCCGCATGCTTGTTATCCTTCTATCCAGCATCTTTTCCTCATTAAGTCGAAAGAAAATAGCCTAGTTATTAACAATGGTGTAATCTACAATGGGTAGAATGTTATATTTTCTGATTTTCCCCTATAGTTTTGTTTTAAGGGAGCAGTAAGAAGCTTTATCGATTAGAAAAGCAAGGGCTTTCAAACAATAGGATTCAAATGTCTCCTTCTCCCTAATAAGAGAATAGTACAGAACCCATCTCCATCTTCTGAACCCATCTCCTCTTCTCTGAGATGGGAGTTAACAGTATTACTTTGTTGTGGGGACAAAATATTCCTTTGATATTTTTACGAGAATGGTAACAAGAAACCTAGGAGGTGTGGAAAAATAACCTATCAGCCTTTAAAACTGTCTAGTGGTGCTTCCCTGCCACCTTCCCTTTAGTTCCGGATAGAACAGCTTTAATACTACCATACCATAAACCTAGGCATTTCACCCCATTTCTTTGGCTTGTCAAGTTTTCACCACCCTCCAGACACTCGAAGACTAGCCAGGACCCTAGTAAATCTGTTACTTTGAACTTATCTTTCTAGCTATGCAATTATATATACATCTTGTAGATTGTATGGCTCTCCCTTCCAAATGTCTCCAAACAACGGTTGCTCAGTTAAGAGCCAGATCTAGTGAATTCTTTACTTTTACTCTTCACTCTGATTACTCTTTGCCAAGCTGTTTTCGAGTTTTCCATTTATCTTGGAAATCACCACGCCCCTTTAGACTTCAAGATAAGCTACACAAAGATGAGAAACAATCCTACACCATTCATTTAACCAAGTCTCAAAGTGATGGCATTTCCAAACTCCAATTTTCTTCCTCCTCAGGAAAGAACATGGCAAGGTGGTAGGACCCCTTTCACAGGATACTTAGCCTAGCTCTAAGTCCAAAGGAAGACTACCATTGTGAAGTTAAGGGTATGCACTACCTACCTCCCAACACCTTTCTATAGGTGAGAGGATCAAAATATTCTGTGTCCAAAGTACTGTCTGATGTGTTCAATTAGCTACTAATACCAGGTTTAAAATTTAGAATGAGCCAAGACTAGCACTGACCAAGTCAGTTACATAACTTTAGCATTCCTAACATCTAAAACTGCAAACAGAAAGTACACTGCATCAAAGTGTATCAAATATTTTAAGATGTATGCTAATCATAGTAGTTCCTGTCAAGCATGTGATAAGTACTGGCCTAGATACCCAACATTCTCTTTCTCATTAAGGGCAGCACTTTCTGTGCTTGTTTCTTAAACCCATTTTTGACCCTACCCCTCCCCTCCATATCCTTTCCATACTTCTGCACTAATCTCTAGGATGCTGCTAGTTAATCCATCCCAAAGTTACAGGATTAGATTCCTACTCTAGGCTCAGAACTCCCACTTCCAAAAATTGAGTATCAGGATTGTTTGTTCTCTGCAGATTTATTAAGTGAACTTATCTTTATATTAATACAGAACAATTAAAGCTGACCAAGTCAACAAATAAGCCTGCCGATTATACACAAAGCTTTACACCATTATAATTCAGCCAGTTGTCAAAATTCTGAAAACAAAGCATCCAATCTTCCAATGCACTAGTGATCAGACCAAATAAATTTGATGCAGACCAGTATTCCCCTTTTTTGTACCAATGCTAATGAATACCTGGTTTAAAAAAAAAAAAAAAAAAAAAAAAAAAAAAAACTTGACCAGAAAACTCAAAATTAACTATTACCTGCCCTACTAAAGATATTTAGTCTCAACAAAGAATCTATTGGCTATATTTCTAAGATCTACCAGACGCTACCAAAACTACATGAGGTGTTGCTAAATGTAGGTGAGATTTACATAACTCCTTTAGTCTCATTAACATTTCTAATTAACATCTTTTTCTTTTGACATCTTTACTTTTGCACCAGCCTGGCAAAATAAGATGTTGGTAGTTAGGAACTGAAAAACCTAAGTTGAAAATTAACAGATCTCTGCTCTGAATAAGGCAATTCATTTTAAAAGACAGATTATCTGGACTGGAAAATTTTGCAAAGCTGGTTTACATGAAGCTGTTTTGTCCTAAATTCAGACAATTCCTCAAACATGCAAAGGTTGTGGTATAAAATGAATGTTGGAAACCAAAAAAAACCCAGAGAATTTATTAAAACCAGGAGTTCTAATTTGACACCATCCCATCTAAATAGCCTGAAAACCTCAATTTAGTTACTATTAACTAAAATAGCCTTTGGAACCAGTGGTCCCTTTAGGCTGACACACTGAGATTAGAGCTTGATACCTAGTAACACCAACTCCAAGAGATTAATGTAGGAACTTGTCAGATACGGTATTAAGGAACTTGAGTTCTTATCTCACCCAAAGCTCTAAGAATAAAAAGGAATTTTCCAAGTGTATGTATTCTATAGCTAACGATGTTTAAGACTCAAGTAACACCATTAAACTTTGAATGTAGGTCTGTATGAATATGGTTAATATCAAGGTTTACCCCTGAAGCTTAACAGAATATTGATATTGAACACAAATCAAAAATCTAGTTAGAAACATTTTATTTAAATGTGCCAAATAAAAACCCACATTTTCAGACCATAGGATGTTAATACATTCAACAAAAATTTATATTATCTTACTGCTGTGAATTTACAGAGTAATAATCCAGATCCATTTTGATTAGATGGTTGAAATACCCTTCCTAGGTTACACTTTACAGACATCACAAATCCCTTATAATAATGTAAACAAAATAACTTTTCCCTAAAAGGTGAACTTGAGAACTTCAGTCCACTCTCTCAGGACTTGCACTTCTTCGCGGACTTCCTGATGGGGAACGACTAAAAAGAAAAACATTAAGTTCGGAACTGATTAGTATTTACTGAAATTTATTCTTATGTACATGTCAAGGGAAAACTCAATTTCAATGAACTCAAAGATGGCCAAAGGTACTATACACATCAGAGAACAAAAAAATTTTAAGATTTACATAGAAATCCTTTGTTCCTGCTTAAGATTAGGTTTAATAGCCTTGTAAAAATTCCAAGTTAAAGAGAACAACTATTTGAATTCTGGGAATTTTTTATCATTAAGTAGCAACTAAGCAAGATAATGCTTTAGCTGTAAGATTTCAACCTAAACATTTTTTTTCCTTCGTGTGGGTACCTCATTTACCTATCGTCCCATGTGGAGGAAAAAGCACATTTCTTAACATGAAATTATACAGTTAAAGGTTCACAGGGCAAAACATCTTAATAACCATCTTAACAATTTAATGACTAAATATTCACCAAAAATACAAGCTAATGTTGAAATGGGAAAAGCAATCACCTAAGAAACTTAGTATCTAGTAATATATACACACACACACACATATATATATATGTATATATATATAGCACCAATTCTCCAAAGAGCTCAAAGCCTGTAAAGTAAGCAGTAAGCAAAACATATTCTGCAGAGGCCACACTTGACAGTTAACACTTGGCAACAAATTATGTAGCTTACCTTCTTTTTGGAGATGGAGATCTGGACTTTGATCGGCTGTCAAAACATGAGAAATTCTATTAAGAAAAAGTACTAACCAATCTCTTTCTTATAATCACAATATCATGAAATGAACCCCCAAGTTGCCCTGAGCTTAAAATTAAAAGGTCAGGCTGCAGTTAAACTGAAAAAGAGCCTACCAGTTTGCGAACAAAAGCCAATCTTCCAACACTGTTCTTCATAAAATGATTGAATTGCTTCATTCTATCACTATCTTTACACTCTGCTTTATGCACAATTATCTCAGAATGCTTCTCTAGGGCTCATCAGTTCTAAGAAGGCCTCTTCATATACCCCAAAGTCAAACTTCTGTCTCACCATACCTTGACATTTCCTTGTCCAAAAGTCAGCCATAACAGGCCATGTATAAGTCAAGTTCTAAAGTTTGGTATACTAGAGTAAGGTACAGGTAACTGTGTTCCCACTAACACCTAGACTTAAATTTAACACTTGAAATTTCAACAATTCAAAACACTTTGAACTCTTTGGATATTGGTGCCATATAACTAGAAAAGCATTAATCAGATTTTTACCCTACCTGCTTCTTGGTCGTGAAAGAGATCTGGATCTTGATCTTGACCTCGACCGGGATCTTAACAAAAAGAAAAACAATTATACCAATTAGTTCATAGGAATAAGCTCCTTAAACATCTACTAAGCACTTGTTAAACTAAGAATAGAGAAACTAAAATTAAGCAAGACACAGGGCACCTGGCTAATTCAGTGGATAGAGTGTATGACTCTTGATCTCAGGACGACTTTGAGTCAGAGACCATGCCAGGCATAAAGATTAAAGAAATTTAAAATCAAGTATTTAAAAAAAAAAACAACCCACAATCTAAGCTCTGGTACCAAAATAAGCAACCACACACTTCAATTATTTAGTTCTATCATACTCCACCACTGGGCTGATTGTCACAGTTCCTGCACAGAGGTACAAAATTCTTAAACAGCGTATAATATCCAAGAGAAAGAAATGGTTTTAAAATTGGTGTGGTTTGGTTTAATTTTATCTTGAATCAAGCCAGTATTACACAGATCCCTTAACGGAGATTTCAATTCTTCTGGTAATAAGCTCAGTATAAAATCACAACTGGGGAAGCACATGAGTGGTTCAGCAGTTGAGCATCTACTTCTGGCTCAGGCCATGATCCCAGGGTTCTGGGATCAAGTCCGCATCAGGCTCCACAGGGAGGCCTGCTTCTCCTTTTGCCTACGTCTCTGCCTCAAGAAACTACAAAAAAATGAATTACAACTTGGTCTTAAGACTTTATTCTTAGATCAATAAACTTTCATGGTTCAGGACTATTGATTTGTCACACAAACCAAGTCAAGTTCTAAAATACACACATTGGGGTCCGACAACCAAAGGCATTTATCTAGGCAGAGTCCAGAGCTTTCAAGTGGACCACAAATTTAGAATCCCTGCATTTAGAGATTTTGTGCTATTATTCAACAGTAACTTCCAGTGGCATTCCCTACTAATGACTCAACTATAGTATTGTCAACTCCTTATTTTACAATCTTATCCATTTCTACCACCTTTAAAAGACTTCTACAAAGGAACAAAAAAAGCTAGGATTCTTAGTTGATTTTTAACTCCTTATATTTCAGTGTCTCTGGTTAAAAAGCAGGCCACACCCCCCAAATCTACACAATTACTATTCTGAACAACTTTCCAGTCTCATTCATCACTCCAAAAAGGAGAAATTTAGGTGTCAACTTGCTTCTGAATCTCCTCCTGGTTCTAATGGTCCTCTTCTTACCAGAGATCAAGCAACTATCCTCTCTTAGAGGTAGCATCATTTACGTATACAGACATAATCTGTCTGACTTTCGAAAAGCTTTAGGCAACATGTCTACCCAGAGTGTTCACTGGAATGACTTGGGGATTTGTGCTTTGGACCTTCCTCTACCATGGCCTCTCAACCCTTTAAAAAAAAAAAAATCTTTGATCAGGTTTTTCTTTAACTGTATAATTATAGTAATACCCATTTACAGGTCATGTATAAATTCAACTTTTTTTTAAGATTTGAGAGGCACCCATGGGGGTGGGGGGTAGGGCAGAGGGAGAAGCAGACTTCACTGAGCAGAGAGCACAACCTAGGACTCAAACCCAGAACCTGGGGATCATGACCTGAGCCAAAGGCAGACACTCGACTGAACCACCCAGACACCCTAAAATTCAACTTTTAGATCTCCAAATATTTTCTGAAGCAATCCATTTCAATTATATCTTTAAGACACTCCTTAATGGTCTTAAAGTGCAGTCATTAAGATGTGACAATCCAAATACAAGTAAGGGAAAGAAAGTGTTACATACTGGAAATACCTCGATCCTTTTATAGAACCAGACCTAGATCGTCTGAGCGAAGCTGATCTTGATCTACGAAGAGACACAGATCTTGATCGTCGTGGAGATGCTGATCTTGACCTGATAAACAAAACAAAGTTTAAGTCTAAGTCCAACTAAAGATTAACACTTGTTAAAATTTAAATTAAATATTTCTCACCTCCTTCCCCTGCTCCTGCTGCGTGAGCGGGAGTATCGCCTACCCCTGGATCTTGAATGTGATCTAGATCGTGACCTATTTTTTAAGTCAGAGAAAAACAAAATGTTAGATGATAACTCGTTTTTAGAGTTTGTGTGCCTCTGCTGAAATCAAATCTCAAAACTATTTAAATTTAGTGTCTCATTTGGAAATAAACTCTGGGCCTATTAGTTTTTTTTTTTTTTTTTTTTACTACCTAAAAAAAGATTTGTTAAAAGCTGAATTACATCTTAGAATTACATAATATAAAACACTGTAATGTGTATTTAAAATAAACCTTGCAAGTTTGCAGGTCGACCCTCTTTGGCCCATGGTCTAGTAGATCTAGACGATCTAGAAGTATCTATAGCCGATCGCTGCATCTAGATGTTTTCTTCAATCTAACGACGATCAAACTGACAGCCAAATGAGCCAGGTGAGGCTTGATTGACGCAAGAAGATTTTTCTAGTTGGGAATGTGGTCAATCTGGTGTTCCTCTTTCTAAACCGGAGGGGGCCCCAATTGTAAGCCAAATTTACTGTTACGGCGATCACCGTCTCAAATTTTCTGCCCTTTAAAGAATAAGGTGAAGCTAGGTGTAGATGACTCGAGGGGATCTGGCCTCTTATGCTGATCACCTCAAGGTCTAGGAGGATCTTAATTGTCGGATTTGCAAGGCGCCTCAGCATGATATCATAAGGCTCGTGACATTCTGAATCAAGGCGACTGACTCAAACGAAGAAACCTGAAAGGTTTTGACCAGGTTGATTATTAATATATTAACATTTGTTTAATTAAACAAAAATTGTAAAATACACCTGTACAATTAACATTCAAGTTTATAGAAAAATACTAGTTTCTGCCTTGCTAATAAAAAAATTACTCGATTAACTAGTATACCAACCATTCCTTTATTAAAATAAATACCTGCTTCGCCGCCGCCGGCTATAACGATGACAATCATAAGCATAATGTCCCTTTTCGCCACATTCATAGCATCTATCATTGGGATCAAAGGGACGTCGGGCAGGTGGTCTATCAAAACGAGATCTCCGAGGCATGCCTGTTGATAATTCAACTCTCACTCGGGAACCACAAATCACCCTACAAAAAAAGGCAACAAAATTCTAATGCTAAAAAAATAAACAATTCTAGATTTAGAGCTTTCCAACCATTCTTTTCCCTCACAAACTTCAGCTATCTTTATAAACCTTTCCAACTCCACCTTTGTGCCTCCTTCATATCTTTGTCTTAAGTATATAGTCATGATTAGCTACTTAGTCTCCTCTAGACTACAGAATCTACACTTGTCACCTAGCTCACTACTCAATCCACAGGAATGTTCTAATAAACGTCAATTTCATGACCAACTCTTACTTACTTCCCATCCAGGCCTCGCACTGCATCTTCTGCATCTCTAGGATCTTCAAATTCCACAAAGGCAAATCCTGGAGGATTTCTCGCAATCCACACAGTTCTTAAAGGACCATAATAACTGAAAGCCCTTTCTAACTCTCCTTTGCCGGCACCGGTTCCCAGATTACCAACATACACCTTGGTTTCTGTTTAAAAACGCAAATAGAAGAATGAATGTTATGCAAAATTTTGCCTACGTCTGAGTGAATTTTGTGCCCCAAACAGACCATCCGTTAAGATTGTGCCAAGCACGTTCAATGCTTTATCAAGGATTTAATTTAGTCTTAAAGCCAGCGAAGCCCATACATTTCTGAAAAGCCAGGCGTGTGACAAAGTTCTTAACGTTCTAATAGGGAAACGACCTCCAAAACAGAAGCAGACACGTGGTAGGATATTCCGAGGCGTGGGGCGGGCTCCGCCCCGGCCCCGCCCCCGAGTCCCGGCAGCCCCGGGCGCGCGGGGAGCGCGCGGGCCGGCAGCGTCGGCGGCGGCGGCGGGCGGGCCCCGGCAGGGGCCGGACCGGGAGAGCGGGGCTGCGCCGGCTCTCGTCCTCCGCGGCAACCGCCCGAGGCGCAGGCTCGCCCAAGACTCCAGCTCCCCGCCCCAGAGCCATAAACCGCGCTCGAAAGAGCTAAAAGAGAAAAGAAACCAGCCGCCAGACGAAAAGATTAAGTCTCCATTCCCACTCAATTCGACCGACTGTCTGACGAGAATGCGCAGCTCGAAGCTGCCCCACTTCTGTTCAGTCTCAAATCCATCCTTGCTTTTAAGGCTGCGACCCGATCCGTCTGCTAAAGTGGCGGGAAAGCGCCAAGGAAATGCGCCACCATGGTCGTCAATGTGCGCAAAATGGCAGCCGGGAGCGGGGGGGTGGGGGGCAGGCGGGCGGCTTCAAGGAGGGCAACGGGGAAACCGTGATCGTGGGCCTGCTGCGGGCTGTGGTTGAGAGGAAAACGCCCCAGAAGGAATACGGAACCCACCCCAGACTTGCACCCGCCATCCCCCGGCTGCCTCCGATACCCCGCCCCCGCGGCCTCCGGCTTCGTATGGTGTACGCCGAGGCCGCCATTACGCACGCGGAATAACCGTCTCCCAACCGCCGCGCCAACCCCACGGCCTCGCAGTACTCACTGCATCCACAGCAACGCCCCTCACTGGGCCCTGGCCTCTTACCTCCTCCGTACCGCCCGTAACGCGACATGATGCTGGCCCGCGAGCTCGGCGCTTTCAGCTCGCAGTGCCCAGGGAGCGCGGAATACAAAAGCTGCGAAACCCAGTGAGTGGCCAACGGTCCCGGCGGCACTACGAGGAAGAGTCTGGGTTCGCGCTTATATACGCGGCGGCGGCTTCTCTCTGCGCATGCGTCATTTCGACGTTCTGCGCGGCACAAAGGAGCTGGGCGGAAACAGCGGAGGGGCGGCGCGGAGGGAACTGAAGAGGCTAAGACGCTGGGAACGGGCGGAGGGATACGTTTCCATGGGAACGCCAGACCTCGCCGGTAAACCCGTGGACTTCCCCGCCGCGTCCCGCCCCCTCCCCTCCCCCTTTTGCTTCCTTCTCCCTCCCCCCTTTTACTTCCCCCCGGTCTAGGACCCTCAGCTCTGGTAGTCTTACTACAGGTACAGTACACCGGCCTTAGGAAAGGCTGTAGAATTTAAGCGCTGATGTTGCAGCTGTCGCCGCCTTTCTGCTGGGGGACCTGGCTTAGACTGCTGCTCAGTCGTCTCCGGGGCTCATCAGAGGTAATCGGGAGTTTGGCCAGGGTGAGAGCTGCATAAACCCCTCCATTCTGAGTAGTGGCCACTGCGCCCTGGGCCTCAAAAGGAGTGCCGTGCCCAGGGACTGCGCCCACCCTCCGGCCGCTTCAGAACCCATTTTCACCCACACCGTATGAGGTCTCGGACTCTGGGGCACAGAGGAATAGAGTTGTATTTCGTTTTACGGTTATATTGAAATTGTGCAAAGCCCCTAAATCCTTAAAGCATTCTAGCTAGTGGCAGTTATGAAATTATTTGCATTTGAAGCACAGATTTATTTGTGCTTTCTTTTAGTGCTTTCTGCTTTGAATTGTAGTAACACGTCTCATCCACTAATACTCCTATCCTGAGGACTGGGACTTTAAGTCGTCTTCGAGTAACAGCCTTGCTGCTCAGCCAAACTCTATAGAAAATAAATGTGAACCCTTTCTTTAGATAGAATTGCTTAACATAAATTCTGATTGTATTTTTATTAGGTATAGTTGACATACAATGTTATATTCATTTCACATGTACAGCATAGTGTTTTAACAATTCTTTGCATTACTGGATGTTCGCCCTAAGTGTAGTCACCACCTGTCACGCTTACAACATTTTTACAGTATTATTGGCTATATTTCCAATGCAATACTTTTCAGATTTGATTTTATACAATGTATTTTCCAAATGCCAAGTCTACAAATACAGATTTAACTCCTTTTTCACCAGCTACAAAAAAAAAAAAAAAAAAGACATTACACTATAAATAATAAATACTTGGAATATTTGAGTTGGAATTGTTTCACATAAAAGATGTAATCATTAACTATTTGTATCTCTATGTTTTTCATCTGTAACTTCACGTGATGTATTTGGATGTGTGATCCAGACTATGGAAGACAGGAGATTTAGTTGGTGAATAAAATATGGATCCTCTCTTGACAATGCTACAAATTTATATACGTATTTTTTTCAGATTTATCAAATTATAGAAAGAATACATCCATTGCAAGAAAATTCTAGCAAGAAAATAGAAGTTCTATAGAATGTTATATTTATTCTCCTTTAGTTTTATTGATTGTGTTTTCTACTTAACTGGGTTCTTCTCACAGGATTAAATGGTAAAGATCTTTTTATATACTCCCTCGAAGACTGGGTATCAATTCTGTAAAGGCTCACTAATTTGACTTTCTTCTATTAAGAAATTATGGGGGCGCTTGGGTGGCTCTGTCTGTTAAGCATCCAACTCTTGATAGACCCCCACCTCAGGCTCCAAGCTGGGTGAGAAGCCTGCTTAAGACTCTCTCCCTCCACCCCATCCCCGCCTCTCAAAAAAAAAAAAAAAAAAGAATTTATGAAAAGTGTTGCACAAAGCACAGGTAACTTATTGGAAGATAGTACTTATTATACTATTAGGCCTCAATACATGTTTTTTTTTTTTGTCTCTGAATACAAAGTCTATTGTACTAAGGAGAATTCTGAAGGATGTCATACTATAAAAAATATGAAAAGAAGCAATTTTCCAACTTAACACAACTGCTTTCAAGCACATTAAAGGAAAAGTGATAAACCCTGCCTGGCTTGCCTTCCTCTCTAGGAAATAGGTGCTTTGATAAGCTAACTACATGTTATTTATCTGTATTAGAAAAGGGCCAATTCTAGGCTGAGCTTTCCTATCCTAGGTACCATGAAAAAACAATAGTTCTGAATGGTATTTCCATACACTAGTCTACTGAACACTCTAAGAACACATAACCAATTCTTTTCACTAAATGTCAATCCAAATCAGGGAGATAGTATTGTACAGAATACTTTTATTTCCACTGATTCTTTTGAAATCGGTTTCAGCCACATAAATTTCTGCCTATAGGATTATGTGTTAAGTTAAGATCATTTTCCCAGATTCAATTGGAATATAAAAGGTACTTTATTCAATGAATATTCTAAGATTTCCTAATATGAAATTTTAAGTAATTCTTAATATATCACTTTTTTTTTTTTTTTAGAATTTATTCATTTGAGAGAAAGAGAGAAAGAGATCAGGGGGAAGGGTAGAGGGAGAGGGAGAAGCTGACTCCTGACCTAGCAGGAAACCTGATGCCAGGCTTGATCCCAGGACTTCAGGATCATGACCTGAGCCAAAGGCAGACACTTAACCAACTGAGCCACCCAGGATTACTGTTGTTAAATAATATTGATTATATTATTAGTTTATGAGAGGGTGGGTTAATTCTTAATCCTTTTACAGCAGCTTTCGAAATTTATCTGCATTTCCTAAATTGAGTTTTTCCAGAGAGGCATTAAAGGAAAAGTTCACTCTTTCTCTTATTTTCTATCCCATTTTAGTTTCACTTTTTTTTTAAGATTTTATTTATTTATTTATTTATTTATTTATTTATTTATTTATTTTATTTATTTATTCATGAGAGACACACACAGAGAGAGAGAGAGAGACAGAGACAGAGACAGAGAGAGAGAGGCAGAGACACAGGCAGAGGGATAAGCAGGCTCCATGCAGGAATCCTGATGTGGGACTCAACCCTGGGACCCCAGGATCACGCCCTGTGTGGAAGGCAGGCACTAAACCACTGGGCCACCCAGGGATACCTTAGTTTCACTTTTAAATCATTGTTCCAATTTTAGCCTGTATGTGAAAACTTTAAACCGAAACCAGGTTTAGTCCTTTTGAACATGTATCTATTTTATTTTTTTAAAGATTTTATTTATTTACTCATGACAGACACAGAGAGAGAGAGAGAGGCAGAGACACAGGCAGAGGGAGACGCAGGCTTCATGCAGGGAGCCCGATGCGGGACTCGATCCCGGGTCTCCAGGATCATGCCCTGGGCCAAAGGCAGAAGCCAAACCACTGGGCCACTCAGGGATCCCCGCACATGTATCTATTTTTAATGTGAAGAAATAGTCTGTACTTATAAACACTAGTGTTTTAATATGTATTTATGTGTGTGCTGTGTGTGTGTGTGTGTGTACTGTGGGTCAGTCCAAATAGCTGTATTCAACTACAACTTGCTTTTCTTTTTTTCAACATTTCATAATCTTCAATTCCCTCTAGAATGTTCTTACAAAATTCTAGGAAGGAAAAATCATCAGAATTATGTTTATGATTCTTTCATTTTTAAAATATTTTATTTATTTATTCGTGAGAGACACACCAGGAGAGGCAGAGACAGAGGCAGAGGGAGAAGCAGCCTCCATGCAGGGAGCCCGATGTAGGACTCAATCCTGGGACCACAGGATCACATCCTGAGCCAAAGGCAGATGCTCAACCACTGAGCTACCCAGGCATCCCTAATTCTTTCATTTTGTATCAAGAAATTAACTTGTCGTTAGCCAAGCACTGTATTATAATCAGTACTGAAGTATGGAGATGGAGCTGGGGGAGCAACAGATAAAAAATGCCAGTGCCTTAACCAACTTGAAAGGCTGAAACTAGGAAGAACGAAAATGTGATGCAAGAGTGCTGCACTGATACAAATACTACTAAATGGCTGGTTTAAGAATATAAAGCAATCTAGGAAGGATGAGACTTTCTGAGGAATGCCTGATTGTATTAAAAAGAGTGAAACTGTAAAACCATCAAACCCCATTGAATTATGTTGTTCCTTATCTAAAGAAAGAATATTAATGAAAGGGACTTAGGGGCGCCTGGGTGGCACAGAGATTGGGTGTCTGCCTCGGGCTTGGGTCATAATCCTGGGTCCTGGAATCGAGTCCCGCATCTGGCTCCTCACAGAGTGCCTGCTTCGCCCTCTGCCTGTGTCTCTGTCCCTCTCTTTCTGTCTCTCATGAATAAATAAATAAAATCTTAAAAAAAAATGAAAGGGACTTGGTCACCTTGTTGTAGTAACTAGAAAGCTAGACTAGCTTGGACAGAGTTTAGCAGTTCTAAATTGTCAATATCTTAGAGAGAACCTATGTTATTAGCCTGATATCAGCTGTACTTAAAGATTACTGCTCAAGACTGTTGACTTCCCTTATTTGATGTTTTGATACTGATCTTTCAATTCCCAGAAATGAATATCCTCTACCATAAATTAATAAAAATGATTGTTCTTCATGAATCCTTTCCTTAGGATAGGTGGTAGGTATAGTATAATGATTAAGAGCATATAAACTCATGGAGTGTGACCGTTGGGTTTGAAGCATGGCTCCACCATTTAATTAATAGCTGCCTACCCTTGATCAAGTTGTTAATCTCCTGGTACTTCAGATTCCTCATCTGCAAAATGGGGTTTGAGAGTAGTACTCATCTCAGAGAGTAGTTGTTAGGATTACATGAGGTAAATCAAGCAAATGACATTGTCCAGTGTCTAGCACATACTGAGTACTCAATAAATGTTAGCTGTTAGGAGGATGAAGAAGAGAGGCAGTAGTAGTGGTTTGACTAACCTTTGTCAGCTGCTAAAAATTTGATATGACCTGGGTACACTGACAGAAATTAAGTTTTGTTTCTGGAAAGCCAGGGACAAGACCCTGAAACACGGTGACCAGCTTATGCCCACTCCTAAGATGTCTTTGTCTCTTCACTCATTTGCTTCTAAGTGAAATTGTTACTTTTCTTCTTTGACCCTATCCACAGAGACAAAAACAATCTGACACTTAAAAAAACCAACAAGTCAGAAAAAGAAATTTTCTTCATGAAAAGTGGATCTGCAAGAATCCTGAAATCAAATGCTGAAACTTGCTTAAAGGGTTTATGCAAAGGCAGTTGCCTATGGAATTGGGGGGGGGGGGATGTATGTTCATGAGCAATGGGGAAATTGTTGCTTTTTATTACAAAGTTAAGTCTTTGAAGCTAATTTCTTTTTTTTGAGAGGGAGTGCAGAAAGAGAGGGAGAGAGAATCTTAAGCAGGCTCCAGGCCCAGCTTGGAGCCAACTTGGGGCTCGATTTCATGACCCTGAGATCATGACCTGAGCTGAAACTCCATGAGACTCCTAACCAACTGAGCCACACAGATGCCCCTTTGAAACTAATTTCAATAAGATTAAGTGTACCTTTTTTTTC